CGCCCAAATTTGCCATTTTTATGGAGTCTTTTGGCATCAGTTGAAGGATAATCACAGCAATACCCCCTGTTAGCTGCCCGAGATGAGGATACTTTGGTTTCCGCAGACAGTATCCAGCCGTAAAGTACCAAAGACAGGGGGTTGTCCAGCTTGGGTTAAGTCCACATCATGCTGCTCTATCATAATGACCTTCCCGCTCCTGGGCCAATGCGGAGTCAGTATACCTGCAATACTGCATGGTGTATGACCGATACACTGCGAGGCTAATGTTACGAGAAGTCGATGAGACCAGTCACAACGTACTGTACGAGCTAAGCATGTTTCATCGGTGCAGGCTTGAGGTTGCCTTGCTTTGTTTGGTGCTTATGCCTGCGGTCTGGTAGGACATTCTACAGCCCTGTCCATGGATGAGATCTAGACCTACCTTGAAAGGTAGTGCAATGTTTCTGCGCTGGTGTCTAGACCCGTAAGGCTGGGGCCCTGGCCACGAAAATACGGTTGGCGATTGCACCCAACGTATCGGAGGATTAAATTCACCAAGTCGGGATGTGGTGATTGCATTCTATTGTATTTTATTGACGTGGAGTGTAGCAACATGCACTACAAAAAACCCCAGCTTCGAGCACGTGATGATAGTCTCCTTGGCTCCACTTTTTATGCACAGTATACTGGCAAGAGCTACGAATTTTGGACCAACGCGTTGACTGCGAAGCTTCCCTAAGCCTGAGCAGCTACGCAACTTCATGGCAAACAAATACTCCGTTACAGGAACCCACATGGTGCTTACCACTTGCCCCATACTGAGATGACTAGCCGTGGGCTAGCGTCTAGTATGGGACTATTCCTCCCCCTATATCAGTCCTCGCAAATAACTTGCATTGGCCTTCTACCACCTTTGGTTCTAGATCTGAGAGTACTAACCATGAAGTTTGCCATGAAGCCTACCTGGAGCGCAAGCCCTGGGGGAAAACTCCATTCCAAAATTGTATTGCCAACATCGCGGAGAAAATAAGTACTGTAAAACCGAATACGATTAATGCCACGTAGTCTCCAGTCCCACGAGATCAGATCTCAAGACTTCTTCTTTGCAGCGGCTGCCTGTGCCTTGGCAGCCTTCTTCTTGTTGCTGTTGATCATCACAATGCCTATGAAGGTGCCGACCACAGCGGAACCAAGCAGAGTGAGAAAGACGGGGATACGGATGGCCCAAACACGCGGAGGGAAGAGGTCGTGGAGAGGGTGACCGGGATCAACGAAGGGCTAACGAGCTGTCAGCAATTGTGCAGAAATATGCTGTGAGGAGGGAAGATGAAGCAAGCATACCATCAACAGAGTCCACGTGGTATAGTAGAGGAAGATCGCGGTCGCGACCAGAAGCATGGCGGATCCGACAATAGTGCCCAGCTGTTCAGTGTAAGTGATTGTCATCTCATATATTGCTCAGTAGAAGTAGAACCACGTATCACATACCATACTGATGATCAATTATGGAGCCGCGGGGGGGGATTTATGAAGGGAGAGCGAGAAACGCAGAAGGATGACGGATAAGTGAAGATGGGCTCCTGATGCGCATGGCAGAGAGACAACTGGAACTGCCCGCGGCCGGGCGCCAGCCTGGCTCCAACCACGCTCACGTGATCGTGACGGGGCGCCGCGCTAAGACTTCCTTTCCCTTCTTTCGCCGCCCGCCCATCACGAGAGCTCCGACCAACGTCGTGTTATCCCGCGGGTTCACCACCACTGTCAGGGCAATCCTGGATTTTGACCCCGAACAAAGGATGACGGATCCCGTTGTGTTGCAGTCTGCGGTGCGAGTGCCGACTCCGCCCCCAGATGCCTCGTACTCTCCCCAACCTTCAGCATCTCGCAAACGCTCACCTCCCTCTCGATCCCCTTCACCCAACCGTCGCCGCTCGCCACCAGGTGACTCGCACGATGGTGGCCTTGAAGCGCCGCGCATCGACCCGGAGCGCGCCATCGAGCGAGAGCGTCAGCTTGCGGAGCGCGTTCGACAGCATGAGAAACAGGAAGCCGCCGCGAGGAAGCCGATGACGGAAGAGGAGAAGCAGGCGGCCGCCAAAGCCGAGTATGAGAAGCTGTTGAACATGCGGTCGGGCGGTACCTATATTCCCCCGGCTCGACTGCGTGCGCTGCAGGCACAGATCACCGATAAGACCAGCAAGGAATATCAGCGGATGGCTTGGGAGGCGTTAAAGAAGTCGATCAATGGTCTGATCAATAAGGTCAACGTTTCCAACATCAAGCATATTGTCCCGGAGCTGTTCGGTGAAAACCTGGTGCGCGGCCGCGGTCTGTTCTGCAGGAGCATCATGAAAGCTCAGGCGGCTAGTTTGCCCTTCACGCCCATCTACGCTGCCATGGCTGCTATCGTCAACACAAAGCTGCCGCAGGTCGGAGAGCTCCTGCTCAATCGGCTGATTGTACAGTTCCGGAAGGCATTCAAACGAAATGACAAGGCTGTCTGCATATCATCTACCACCTTCATCGCCCATCTGTGCAACCAGCAGGTTGCCCACGAGATGCTGGCTGCCCAGATTCTCCTTCTCTTGCTCCACAAGCCCACGGACGACAGTGTTGAGATTGCGGTTGGACTCACACGGGAAGTTGGCCAGCATCTGGAAGAGATGAGCGGACCCATTGCGCTCGCGGTGTTCGACCAATTCCGCAACATTCTTCACGAGGCGGATATCGATAAGCGTGTGCAGTATATGATCGAGGTGCTGTTCCAGGTTCGCAAGGACAGATACAAGGACAACCCCGCGATCAAGGAGGAGTTGGACCTGATCGAGGAAGAAGATCAGATCACACACCAGATTGGCCTTGACGATGAGATTGACACTCAGGACGGGCTGAACATTTTCAAGTACGATGCGCAATGGGAGGAGCACGAAGAGGCCTACAAGAAGCTGAAGGCGGACATCCTAGGAGAAGGCAGCGACGATGAAGAGGACGAGGATGAGGACGAGGATGATGACAGCGCGGATGAAGAGTCGGAAGAAGAGCGGAAGATGGACATCAAGGATCAAACCAACGCAGACCTTGTCAACCTCCGCAGAACGATTTACCTGACAATCATGTCCAGTATAGATTTTGAGGAATGTTGTCACAAGCTGATGAAGATCTCCCTACCAACGGGTCTCGAGTCCGAGCTTCCATCGATGGTCATCGAGTGCTGCTCGCAGGAGCGCACCTATTCCAAATTCTACGGGTTGATCGGTGAGAGGTTCGCCAAGATCAACCGCTTCTGGTCCGACCTCTTTGAAACCTCATTTGCCAAATACTACGACACGATCCACCGATACGAAACCAACCGACTACGCAACATCGCCCGCTTCTTCGGTCACATGATCAGCACCGATGCCATTGGGTGGCATGTGATGTCCATCATTCACATGAATGAAGAAGAAACGACGTCCAGTAGCCGTATCTTCATCAAGATCTTGTTCCAGGACCTGGCGGAGCATATGGGCTTGCCCAAGCTTCAAGAACGCATGCGAGACGAGATTCTGCGCCCCAGCTTCGAGGGTATGTTCCCAACGGACAACCCACGCAACACCCGCTTCTCGATCAACTACTTCACCAGTATCGGTATGGGTATTTTGACGGAAGACATGCGCGAGCACTTGAAGAACCTCCCCAAGCCCACCATCCCTGCCTTGCCTCAGCGCAATGGAGGCGACGAGTCAGACGCGGATTCCGTCTCATCGCATCCCACCAGCTGCTCGACTTGCTCGCCCCGCTCCCGCTCCCGCTCCTACTCCTACTCCCGCTCCCCTTCGCCAGGCCGCCGCCGCCGACGCTCTGTCAGTCGGGGCCGGTCCTTCAGCCGCTCTGTGTCGGGCTCGTCCCGCCGAAGCTACAGCTACACGCCGTCGCGGTCTCGCTCGCCAGTCTCCAAGGACCGTCGACGTTCAGTCTCCTACAGTCGGTCTCGGTCGCGATCACCTGCGCCCCGTAAACGCTCATCCGTCTCGCGGAGCCCCCTTCCTCGCCGAGGCCGGGATCGCTCCTACGATTCCCGTTCCCCTCGTCGGAGTGTGAGTCCCTACCCAACTCGACGAGCCCGTTCCCTATCCCGCTCGGTCACGCCACCCCGCAAACAGGCCGGCGGCGGTCGCAGTTACAGCCGATCACCCTCTCGGTCCGTGACCCCGCCCCCTCCTGCGCGTCGCGGCGCGCCCGCAGCCCGTGCTGGGGCCCGCCGGTATTCCGACTCCCGATCGCCTTCTCCTCCCCGCAGGCGGGTTGCCAGGAGCATCTCGCGGTCTCGGTCTCGGTCTCGCACCAGGTCAGTGTCAGTGACGGCGCGGCGGCCGCCTGCGCCCATCCGTCGTGGCCGCGATGCTAGCGCGTCCCGCTCACCAGCTCCACCGCGGGCCGGAGGAGGAGGAGGCGGTCGGAGACGGTACTCAGATTTGAGGTCCCCTTCGCGGTCGCCCGTGAGCCGCCGTGCATCGCCTTCGCAGACCCCACCCCGCCGAGGCCGTGACTAGTAGTGTATACATCGATGATTGAAAGTTTGTGGGTCAAGAAGGGAAGACTTCAAAATGCCATTTTTTTTTTCGTCGCCGTTGTGCTTATCATGGGATGAATTGGGGCAGGATGGGTCAAGGTTATATCATAATGGGGGGCTCATTATAGTGTGTATCTAGTTTGAAGCGATCAAAAAGACAAACATGCAGCCAGGCCTTAGTCATGTTTCAAGACTCACTCTAAGATATGATCAATTATGGGATTCTTGTAGAGTACCAACGGACATCAAACGTCCGGCAGCTCACAAGCTGTTAGTCCTACTAGCCGTCCTGTCCACTTCTATATATCTAGCCTGTTGTATATGTATATCTATCACCACCAGGGGTATCTCAAATCAATCTCTAATATCACCGCAATCTATAAAGCACAGGGACCCCTCGCCCTTCCTACCATCCTATCACACGCACGCGATGCACACGAGACACGCAAAAAAAGAGGACATCACATCACATCTCCCCGGCCTCAAACCGACACCTCTCACACAGACAGAAGCCGCCCAGGGCGCCGCGGGCCCACTCCCGACGATCCTTGACCCCCAGCCCGATATCACAGTAATGGTTCAGGATCTCCTCGTCCTTCTTGATCCCGGCCCCGACCCGCCTACACGCGGGCGCAGCCGCAGCATCGGCCTCGGAGGGCAGATTCCACACGGCGCGCTCGGCCTCCGCGCGGGCGACGAAGGTGATCTCGCCGCCCCACTCCCAGCGGACGTTGGGGTCGCACGAGTGGTTGGCCAGACACCACAGGGGGTGGACGGCGCAGAGCTCGGGCCCGCCGTCCCAGGTGGAGAGGCGGCCGGAGGCGGTGCCACGGAACTTGGCGTACAGGGTGTTGAGGACCCAGGTATCGTAGTGGCGGAGGTGGGCGTAGGGGTCGATCTCCATCTCCTCGAGGAGGCGCATGGGCTGGAGGATGTTGAGCTGGAAGGAGAAGGGGAGGGTGCCACCATTCCCCGATGCGCCGGGGTCGGGGTCCAGCGGGTCGGAGTGGCCATAGTCCACGAAGTCGCCCCAGATGAACTTCACCTCCCCCAGCTCCAGCGGATGTACCTCCTGCGTCGCCGCCATCGCCAGCGCCCGCCCCAGCAGCAGCAGATATAGGTAGTCTGCCTTGTCCTTCGGATCGGGGATGTCCTTGCCGATGGACTCGAGGTTCTCCATCAGCCCGCACACGGCCCCGTGGTAGACCTGCTGGGCTTGGTCGTGGCAGGCCTGCGAGCAGAAGATCGTGTCGTCGCAGCCGTTGGCGCACGCCACGGGCGGCTCGTCGGCCGAGAGCTCCGGGAGCGGGCCATTGCAGGCGTCGCACAGGTCGTCGTGGAGACGGTTGGTGGCGGTCATCAGCGAGTTTTCGCGGAGGATGGTCTCGCCGGGAAGAATGTCTTCTTTGGCGAAGAGCCCCAGTTGGATGCTGACTTCTTCTGGCTGCTCTTGTTCTTGGTCTTGTGATTCGGAGGAGGAGGGGTTCGGCTTGGTGGTAGTGATAGAGTGCAGCGCCGGTAATGCGACAGCCCGGACCTCACACTTGGGCGCCACCGTCCGTAACTTTTCGTTCAGGAGGGCCAGAGTCTCGGGGGATTTGCGGTCGGGTTCGTGCGTGTTCCAGGGGTAGAGGACGCGGCGGGCAAGACCCTGTGCCGGCAGGGCGCTGGGATCGTCAATCACGATCTCCGTGGTAGAGGAAGGGAGATTGCGTCGGCGGGCGAACTCCCGTTGCAATGTCGCCAATTGTGCCGCTAAGGTGGCGTGGGCTTCACGGTCTGAGGAGGTCTGGTTGTCGCTAGTGCTACCAATACTACTCAAGCCCCGTGCACAGAATTCATATGCGTCACGGAAGCAGCCACAGCTGACGAGGGAGCGGACTAATAATGCGTAAACGGGGTGAATGAGGGCATCGTATTCGGACTGCGTAAGTGGAGTGAACTGGTCATCGTCGTCGTCGTCGTCGTCGTCGGCGGCGGCGGCGGCGGCGGCGGCGGCGTCATCGACAGCGTTGTTACTTTCGCGAGCCTTTGACTCCGTGATCTCCGGAGAGTCGTGAAATCTGCGTCGGGCGTGAAATTCGCAGCCGTCCGGGTCAACGACCGAGTCGAGGAGAGATAGTGCGCGGTACGCATCGGCCGACGCTAGATCGGGGAATCCCAGTTTCTCATGCACGAGACCTCGCTCATAGTAAAGGTGTGGATTGTGAGGATCTTCGTAGAGCCGCGTTGTTACATCAGCTCGTTCCTGCAGGGCTTGCATCTTTGACCGTCGGAGAATCCTAATCCGTTCGTTCAATCTGGCGAGGGCGAAGGGGAGGAAAAATTTCAGGATGAGGGATCGAAAATGCGGGGAACCGATAAGAATCTGGTCACGTGGAGATAGGGCGAGCCTACAGAAGTAACTTATCTTACAATACAGACCTGGACCTGACTACCGTGGACTTCAATGCGTCCTCCGAGTTCAACTTCATATCCATGGATATCCATGAAGTATCTTCGGAGAGGATGATGTGACTTTGTGGATTTAAATGCTTTTCGTACCGAAATATATCCAGTAATGGAACGCATATTGACAGCCAAGCTACATGCTGCGAAAGGTTGCATGACAGCAATCTTGCATGAACCAAGTAAGATGATGATAGGGGGATCAGACTTGAAGAAAAGACCAGGGATAGAACGAGGACAAAGAGGGAAGTGTCGCCAGCCAACTGGGATTGACCGGTTCGAGGCCACCGTGTAGGCCGTGACATAGAGTTAGGCAAGACCCACCGATTCACATCACCTGCAGGCATCATAACTATCAATTCCTGTTCGAGCCAGCCAACACTATTCTCACTTACATGACAGCTGTTCTCATCCAAAACCAGGGTGGCATGTTCCCCTTCCCCACCAGCCTCCACATTGTACTGCTGGTCCCGCAAGGTGGTAGCAAGACGGGCTAGCATGTGTCTCTGCACAAGTATCAGCATGGGAATCCCTCCGACGCGAGGAAAGCACGTACGGTAATTGACGCCTCGCTCATCCCGCCTTGGCGATCGACATCATTCTGATTCATGATTCGATAACTGTCATGTAAGCGTTTGCGAGTGGCCAACCCCCCAATCCCTCTCACATTAGGCCCAAGCGTATTGGCGGGGTTATCGGGATCAAGAATGTTGATTCCACGGCGAGCGTCATCCTGTGCACGGCGGTCGGGTGAGAAAATCTTGATGGTGTTGTCAATCCCAGAAGCGGCTATAGTAGGCTCATAGGGATGTCCTGCAAAGGATCGTTAACCACTGCCAGGGGCATCAACGGTTCCTATCTTCGGCAAACCTACCCTGGACCACATTGACGACCTCACTGTCGCCTTCTAGGATGTTGACTAGCTTGCATGTTTTCCGATCCCAAATGAAAATATGGCCCGAGTCACTTCCACTAACGACAAACTCATCGTCCAACCCATAGAAATTGACATCCTTGACTGTCTTGACATTGCAGTGACCGCGATACACGCGCGTATGTGAGGAACAAGGAACATCCAGATGCACATACTCTCTTTGTCTGGGGTGCAGCCCGTACTCCCTGAACATGCGACTTTCAGCCTCGGAGTCGTCATCGCTGTCGTTCGCTGGACTGTCAGAGTCCAGATCAAACTCATCCTCCTCCTCTTCTTCCTCATCATCATTGTCGTCGTCTTCAATTTCGTTTTCATCATCGTCCTCAGCATCGTCAAGCCCGTCCTCTTCATTCTCCTCCGAGTCATTCTCGGTTTCACTACCCATGTCCAGCCACCCTGGGAAGCTTGGGATGCCAGTTAAAGACGAGACTGACTCGGTTGCTTCGCTGGTACAGTCATCGGATGCTTCTCTGCTGAGTTGCTGGCCCCGGAGTATTTTCAACCGTACGTCGCGGATAGGTTCCTCTTCCATATTTGTTTCCAGGTCGTTCTGTGACCTCTCCGGATCCATATCTGATTCAGAGCCAGGCGCCACCGTGGCCCGGAAGCCTCCAAAGGCTCTGTTGACAAAAGCATAGTTGACGCCGGTCCCGCTCTCCATGAGTATGCCGCGAGCCACCTTCAGCACCCAGAACTGTGTAAGCTGAAACAAATCGAGGGCATGAGTAGGTGTCCCGTTAGAGTTTGCCCTGTCAACTGCCCCGCCGTGCGTGGCCCCGTTCGATGCTCCGCCGTCAACCGGGGTTTGAGCTGATGTCCTGATCGCAGTGGCGAAGGCGGCTACCGCTTCGCGTTGAGTCGAGAAAAGAATACGAGCCTCGTCGTGTTCGAACCTAGATGCATCAACGTTCACCACCGGGGCCTCTCCCGCTAGCCGCTGAAGATAAGGAATGAGGGTTGACTCAATCGCACGGTCATCCGCGGCTTCAGGGATAGGAAATCTGCTGAGCGTGTCCCGACGAATGGGACCACGCTTGAAGCCCGACAGCAGAGCTTCTCGACCCCCTTCCACATATAGTATGATGGCCTTGATAAAGTCATAACCAAATTGCTCTCTGCGATCGGGCGCGTATTCAACTTTCAGCGGCGATATTTGTTGAAACTGCTCCATCTCGTTGTCAACGTCCCCAGGCGTATTTTGAAGCTCGCCTCCTAGAGCTCGAGCTATCGTTCCTGCAGCCTGAACAAAGCTCCAGGCGGACTCTCGGTTACGACGCAGAGTTTGCTGAAAGCGCACCATATCGGAAGAAGGATTGAGCGGATAGCCCCATGTGCGCATGACCTCACTCATCTGCGGCAGACAGATGGACGCGTGGCCCAATGCTGTGGAAAAGGACTCGCCAAAAGGCGTCAGATCCGTTGCACTAGCTAATTCGAGCTCTTCGCGCGCTGACGTATCGAGCGAGAAAAGAGCCTTGCGAAGCTTGACTAGTTCTTTGGCAATACGCATGCTGAGCCTTTGAGCGTCACTGAGCACTGCCAGCCTCGATTGCTCTAGTAAGCTCTCCGGAACCTCAGCCCGACGCTGCGTCAGAGATGGGATAGGAATGTCCTCTGACTCTCCATTGCCGTAACGCACACGAAATGCCAACTCGCCTTCGTCCTGAGGATCTCTGGGTCGACGTCGCGAGGGAGGCTGGTTACCGCTCGAGTCGGATGACAATGACGTGCCATTGTGTCGCTTTCGCTTGCGGTTTGTGCTGTATCGACGTTTCCGCGGCGCAGGTGTTGCCCGCACTGATGACTGCTGCGATCTCACTTCTCTCGCATCTGCGCTGCGGATGAGATCAAAGCTATAGATGTGGTCGCCCGACCAGCTGACCACCATCTCATTCGGATTCGCATCGCTGATCTTGCAGGCTGTGATATGGCCGTCATCCCGAGTCTTCATGCGATCCTGCCCATCGGGCGCGAACCGGCGAACGCACTTGGTCGCGTCATCCAAAACGTCTGCTCCTTGGCTACTACTCCCAGGAGACGTACTTGAGGCGCCCCTCTCGGCGATGAGGTCCCGACCTAACATGCGCCGATCGTGCAGGAAGCAATGTAGATGTGCACCGCCCAGCGCGATGTAATGTGGTTGACTAGGAGAGCATGAGATGGTGTTGAGATCCAGGCGGTATTTCTTGTACGAGATTAGCGGCGGGGGCACATTGGAATCATCGTGATCCTGTCCCGATCGGAAAGCCATGTAGCCCTGGCCTCCCAGAGGTTTGGGATAGGCCGAGGAGGGCTGTCGCAGATCCCATTGGCGTACTTCTCCGTCCTCTGAACAGGTCAGAAAGAGATGCGGAGACGACTCAGTAACGATGCGCTTGACCCGGTCGGCATGGCTACGATAAACTTTTGCGTTGGTGGTTATCGGGCTCAGATAGTGAGAGGTGTTGAAGAAGTTCTGAAAGCGTCGACTTCTTGCCGATGAAGCAAAGGTCGAATTTCCACCCAGGTGCCCATTGCTACTGGAATACTCAATGTCGAAGACTCGGACCTGGGAGTCCCCGGCGCACGAGACTAGGGTTCGATCATTGGAATGTGGCATGAACTTGACGGAAAAGATATTGGCAGTATGACCAGTATCGATGGTGGTGCTGAGGGCAAAGGGTGCTGCTGAAGAGTCGGGTTGATAGGCGTAGATGTTCAAGTGCTGATCATCCGAACCCGAAGCCAGCAGGCGGCCAGACCGCGACCAGCTGTTCTCTGTCAGAAGGGCGGGAACGTCATGGTGCATAAACTAGGGGTAATAAATTCTAATCAAACATGACGGTAACGGAGATGGTAAGGAGAAATACAAGACATATACTAGTTCAGAACCAGCCGAGGGTTCCGGATGGGGGAGTTAGGAATGAGGATAGATAGACAGATAGATACATACCTCAAAGCATTGACACAACCCGAGTGACCACCGAGCTCGTTTACAATATCAAGGTCTTGAACCCATTCAGAAGAGCCATAAAGGCCACGAATGCCAGCCAAGTGAGAAAATCCTCCAGATTCTCGACGCCAGATACGATCGTAGAGAGACTCTTTCATTGTGGAGGGGGGGGGTTGAGGAGGTAAAGCCGGGTTGTGGGCGGGTGGGTTTGGTGATCGAGACTGGCGGTCTTGTTACCAGACAATTACCAGATGTCAGACGGTATGGTTACCGAACAAGTGTGGATCATTGCGCTGCGGCGGGAATGTGGAAAGAAGGGGAGAGGTTGAAAAGAGAGAGGAAAAAAAAGAAAAAAGAAAAAAGAAAAAAAGAGGAGTTGAACCACTGCAGCTCGAATGACGTCAGACTGGGGTTCGCGCAGATAAACGGCGGCGCAAAGCTCTCAGTTGCTGCTGATCCCGGCGTGAGGCGAGGCCCGACATAAGAAGTAAACTGAACGCAGGCCCGCGGAGATCTTGTGGTGACTGGTGATGGACACGGTCGACAGGTCTGCAGCCATCCACACCTGGCAGGTAAAGCAGCAAGTCCAAGTAGATGAACTTCCAGTGAGGTGTCACCGTGCGATTCGCAGTCTAAGTAGAGTTGGCTTGAGTCAAGTAGTGTCAAGTGAAGTAAGTGGTGGAAGTAAAAGAAAAAGTTAGGGAAGAGCAAAGAGCGCGGGAAGAGAGATAGTAGAAAGAACGAGAGAGAGTGAGTGGGAAGGCAACTTGGAAGAATACTACTAGGTAGGTAGTAGGTAGGCCCAAAGACGGACTGGGGTCCAGATTGTTTCGGGTATATGAGAAAGAAAGCTGACCAGATTCCGGACTGTGCACCCGATCTCTTCCTGGAACGAACCAATGGATGGGGTCGCAACACCGACTCTCGTACCAGAAGAGTACCGAGTAGTTTCGATGGACCCAAGCTGAAAAGAGAAAATCAGTGGAGAGGGGAATGATGAATGGTGTTGACGATAAATAGGGGAAAGGGGGAAAGGAACAAGATCGAAGAGGATAGAGCGATGAGCAAAGGGTATAGTATAGTATTAGCAGTGGTAGTAAGGTAGTAAAGCATAGTAAGAAAACGACGACGGCGGCAGGACATAGTAGCCAAGCCAATTGAGCAAGCAGCAAGCGGACGAGGGGGAGAGAAGAGAACGACGGACTCGGGAAAGTCGAGAAAGGGACAGGAAAGGGAAAAGGGCAAGAAAAGGAACCAAAAGATCCACCGTCTGGGCCCAGAACCACAGTTTGAGCACAGTAACAGTAGTACTCAGTAACCTGGCAGTAGAAGTAGTAGTCCTGTAGTCTTAATTAGGTACATGTACTCGAGTAGCTAGGTATCAGCTAGGCAATCAATCAATTCACCATATTATTTGCAGATACTTACTATGTACTACTAAGTTATTGTGTGCTGTATGTACATACTTCATGTTAATGATTGCTGGTCAAGTAGGTAAGCCGGTTCGCCCCCCCCCCCTCATGATTAATTCCGAGTTGCGCGCAGAATGATGGCATTCTGATCATATCTATCCTGCTTTTTTGCCCTGATCTTCTTCGCCTTTGCCTCCTCCCCGAGACGTCGTTTATTCTCTCGTTTCGCAGTGGTCTGATATATTGGGGGAGAAAGGGTAGTAAGTATTTGTCTCATTTCACCGCATTGTCGGGTGACTGGCAAGAGTGTAAGTTGAGTTTAGTGAGTGAGTGAGTGAGTGAGTGAGTGACAACCTTACAGCCTCTTTACACTAACAGCCAGCCACACGTTACTCAGTACATCCTCTAGGCCTGGGACTAGACTCCCATCTCAATTGTCTACCATACTGAAAGGAGGAAGGTCACCGATCTGGGTAGACCCGCGATCCCCCCCATCTGATGTCTATGATTCGACCAACTGAGGAGGATGCATGGGGCCACGGTCTGTTTACTCGGCCGGACGGTCTGTTGAGCGCATGATAACTAAAAGAGAAAAAGGGACTGAGTAGCAAGCAAGCAAGCAAGCAAACAAGCAGCTAGAGGTCGAGGTAAACCCATCTCTTTACCTCCCATCTCGGTACGAGGTTACACGGCTGAAGGGGGGAGATTAATATGAGCATGACCCTAATGCGAGGAGAGACACTTGACTGCTCGCTCAACTTAAGCTTGACACTAACTTCTGCTGTGCTGCCAGCGAAATCAAAAATTGAATCCAAGAAAAAAAGGGAAAAGAACAATAAAAAAAAAAGAAAAAAAAAAACTACAATAAAAAAGGGGAATGACGACAAAAGTCCCCACGTTCGCTTAGTCAGAGTTAGTCTCCCCCAGAAATGATGGGTCAGTCCATCATCCGTCAGTCGGTTGAGCAAAGCCGAAGCCCAGCGGAAAAGCAATCTCTATATAAATCTCATATCTGCCCACCGTCTCCTCTCGGCTCATCCAATCGTGACTGATCCCTCCCTTCCCCCATCACAACCCGCCCGCATGGACGCGGTGAGGATCTTATTCCCGACTCAGCTTCTTGAAAGTCGGACTGTTCGTTGACCTTCTCTCGCTTTCTAAACTAACCTCCCCCCCTCCTCTTTCCCCCCAACTCCGAACCACAGTGAGCAGAGCAATGATTTACTGGAGCACGGACTCCGTGATGAACTAGGGCAATGCACCAGCATATCACTGTACAGTATCTTCTGTTCTCTCTCAGGACGGTCCATAGGGAGAATAATAAGAAAAGAGAAAGATTTAGGTCGTCTTCAGTCTATTTGCAAGAGTCACGAGAGGAGCGACGGGTAATATCGCGCTTCCCGGTCAGGAGAAAAACCGGATCCATTGCTCTTCTCCTCTTCCCACTTTCCCAGTTTTTCCCTGCTACGTCTCAGCATAGTCTCTGGGACATGGTGGGGACGATTGTCGGCTTGACAGCTCAACAACTGGTTCGGAGTGGATTTTCGTCCGCTCATCTGCACTGAACCTCTCTGCTTCTGGCCCCGGTGCGAGAAGAAATACGGGCTGTATGGATGTGCGCGGCCGTGTTGGGTTGTTTCCTTTTCTTTTTCCAGGAAGCCCAGGTCCACTGAAGAAAGCCCGGCTCGATGAAGCCAAGGTCTATCTGTACGCTACTGTCGGCATCGCCAGCGGTGAAACATGACCATAGGTGGTACAGTCTAACCACCAGGGCACACACGAATCGCTCAGGGGTTGACCAGCGCACTAAACTCTCATCTGGCGAGTATCAACCGTCGTTTTTAAACAAAAGTCAGTTGACAGTGGGGTGATGAGATGCTGTTGATACGGCCTGGCCTTTCAACATCGCGTTTCGAGGGGAAAAACTCTGTCAAATGGACAGGCAGAGTGGAAGGAGGTGTCTACAGCGAAATTTTGGGTGGACTAGTGTTTAGGTCCCGGGTTAGCTTTGACCCAAATCAAGGTTTCAAGTGTAGCAATGCCTACCTTCTAGAATCGAGACAGGCCCTTTTGACAGCCGGGTCGCGTTATGCACAAGTCCTGGAAGGGGTTGCCCGATCGCTTGCGACGCAAGGCAGCTAGTGAGCAGGGCTACCTAGTGTAGGAATCAGCCAGGCCTCCCAATGAGCGGCCGGGAGCCTGCTAGAACCGGTTTTTTCGTCCCTTGATGACCCCATGATGCAACGCTGGTTTACCTACCCCCCCCCCACCTCTTCCCCCCAATGTTCTCCCAGGCGAATCCATGGCCCGGGGCAACGCTTACGGCAGTCGATCTCTCGTCCGACCAAATCCGGTGCACTGATTTCTGATTTCCAGAAGGATTGCCTGTTTGATAAACAGGTTGGTCCCTGCACATTTTGTCCGCTCAACCATGGTGGGTGAGAAACGCGGATTCGCCGCCAGGAAAGAAAAGCGATTGTAAACAATTCATCATGATTGCATGAAAGTCTGTTTCTTCCAGAGTCCCTGTCGCTGTTCTTGGAGTGGCATGGCGCTCACCAGCTTCCGAGCAAGTTGACCAACCCATGCCCGTTCCGCTCTTACAACGTCGCCTTCAATCTTACGGATTGTGTGCAGCTCCTCGATCATCAGGTTCACCGTCTTCTCGAGATTCTTAATCATGCGAAACAGCGCAGAGCTGTCGAATCGCTCCAACTCTCCGTAGCCTAGAAGATCCAGGCTTTGTAGCTGCCGCGAGCAATAGTCCAATTTCGTAGATAAAGCCGACACTTCTTCTTGCCAAGTGCGGTCTAAGGAATCAATGAAAACGCCGTCGTACATTTCGTGCTCATGGTGCAGCCGGTGGTGCCGAATCTCTTCCATCTGCTGAAACCACTCTTCAAATTGCTGCACGACCACCGTGTACTGCCCTTCCAGAGAATCCGTCACCATGTACACGTCTTCTGCAACCCCAGAGAGTATCCGAATCTGCTCCGCAAATCCGAGTGGGCCATTGTGCTCACAAGAGTTTCGAAACCAGCAATGCAGCGCGAGTCCATTGAGTTTCGTCTGATAATCTTGCTCTACAGCGAGCGCGGCACGGTATTTGCTGGCCACGGACTTGTAGTCCTTCCGGAGTTGAGCTTCGACATCGGCCGTCCAGGAAGTCTTCTGTTGAAGAGATGAGGAGTGCGTAAGGCTTAGTTGTAACAGCTCTGTCTGCAAGGCTGCAAGCTCGGGCCAGGATGAGGGTGATGAAGAAGCATCCGCACCCTCGGACGTGGTAGCACTCAGATTCTTTGTAGCCGGATTGACCGCCTTTTTTGACAGTAGATTTTGCGGTTGGAACGATATCTGAGCTCTCGGGCGTGTCGGAGTTGTGGTGCTCGGTGAAGGTGGCTTCAATTTGCCTATCAATCGGCTCACATTGGGCGTGACCCCTTGACTACGATGACGCGCGTGGCCGCGACTGATGGGCGGTGTGATGGAGCTGGACTTGACTGGCTGTCGTAAGGAAGCGGATCGACTGGGTCGGAGCGACGGGGGAGGCATATCGGGTTTCTTGGGAGATAAGGGCCGTCCATCCTGCCTGGGAGCTAGTTCTTGTTTGGAGGGGGACAAAGGACTTGGTGCAAAAGTGGCCTGTTTAGGGCTGCTTATCGTAGCGGCTGGCTTCACAGGTCCAATAGGCTTCAGCGGACTGGGTCGAATGAGGCTCTGGCGACGATTTGCCCCGGTCGCTTCGCGTGTCGAAGGTTCACCTTGCTGCTGAGACCCCTTCCCCCCGGTCTTGGTCGGCCGCTGGGACAGGCGAGTCTCTGCCGGCTGTTGAATTCGAGAGGTTTTCGCAGAGCGGGCATCGTCACGGACCGGCAGAAGGCTCTTGTTTCGTGTTGTGATATTCTCATTTCCGGTGGCATGATAAGAAGATTTTCCGCCAACTGCCGTCGAGGTTGTGGGAGGGTTGGCTTTGGTGGTAGTAGAGCGCCCAATGGTCAATGGCTGAACATTTTTGTGTCAGCAATCATGAGACAGGAGGATTGGAATAGCACACAAAGGAAAAGCATAAGGCAGAGCAGATTGACAAAGGTGTTCCGAGGCCATTGCAGTCACTTGAATGAGAGAGAGGTAATAAAGGGGTGACGAGATGCAACTAACCTTACCGGTACGGGGCTCACGTAGGGAAAGGGAGCGCGTTGGAATCGGCATGTTGATGGTAGATCAAGACATTTGCGGACGCTGAGTTGACTGGAAGACACAATGTATTCAGGGTTGAGCTTTGTAGGCCGGACATAGCCTCTTCTACACCGATGTAAATGGTGCTTTGGGGGGGGGGGAGGGAGTCGCAGAGGTGGAGGTCTGAGTTCAGCTGAAGGCGGCAGTTCCAGACGGGGGCAGCTGCGGTGAAGGTTCCGCATAACCAGTGGAAGCTTGGCTCACTGCAGCCCGGTGAGCACCCCTAACAGGGTTGTTACTACGCACGTATGGTCAATATTGGTTACACTTGAACTGCTACTTCAGGAACTGGAACTTGTACTGTACCTATGATGGCCCTCATGATAATCATGACCCTTGATCTTTTTTATCAACGACTGTAGTGACCATACAGAGCTTCCGATTTCGTCTGCCAAATACTGGGGCTTATTCACGTGATTATAGCATTCGTCCATTCATTGAGAAGCGGTCTGTGATATCCACAGGATAACAACACAAACTTTTCCTGAAGTCTAGAAGGGAAACTCGCAGATACAAAAGGCGGAACAAGTCATCCAGTCATAGCGACTACGCTCATCAAACTCCCAGCCCCATCCACTTCCCTCAGTCATTTCCAACACGAAACTGCAGAAGTTTCCCACACCTGTTGCAAAAGCGCAATCACCGATGGCTATCTCACATTACCTGTGCACGTAGTTCTGATCGAATGAAAACAATTTGGGTCATGTGCGCCCATCGACTACAAACTGCCACGTCTGGGGAAGGCGACGCCCTCAATGGCCGCATGGTCAGTGAACCAGCTGACTTTCTCACCGGCACCCTGGTTGACCAATGAGGACGGCAAGTCTCTTCCTTCCTCAGCATCAAAAATTTGCTTCATGATATCCTTCTTGCCACCTCCAGTCGCGATAAATGCGATGTTGAGAGCGTGCGTGACCACCGGAAGAGTAAGGGTGATGCGCTTCGGGGGCGGCTTAGGTGAGTCGCTGATGGCTGCCGTCCAAGCATCCTTCTCTCTGAGAAGCTCGTGGCCAGGGAAAAGACTGCAGGTGTGACCATCCGGCCCGCACCCCAAGAGGATGAGATCGAAGACAGGCAACTTCACACTGTCTTTGGCCGCAAAGGAGCGCATGAGGTCCTCCTGATACAGGTCGGCCAGCTCCTGGGGATCCTCATCATTGACATGAGCGGGGTCGATCGTATGCACGGTGGGAGCCCCAAGTTCCGTTGGAATCTTATCGAGCAGTTCATCCTTCAACAAACGGTAGTTGCTGTCCTCGTGGTCGAGGGGTACGGCGCGCTCATCGGCAAAGAAGATGTGCCACTTGGAGAACTGAGCAGTGTCTTCTTCGGACCCATTTCCAGGCGTGAGGAGAGCCTGCGCCAGCACCTTCGGCAAGGAACCACCAGAGACAGCGACACGGAAAGTGCTGTGACGACTCAAGGCGGAGTTCTGGATCCGGAGGACGTAAGGCCTCAGTTGCTGGGCCAAAGCATCGGTATTCGCAAAGCTGTAGAGATTAGGGGCGGAAGCAGCCATTGTGAAAGGCAAGCTGTAGCTTGTAGGGGGCAAAAGGGCGATATGGGGAAGAGAGAGGTTGGAGGGGAAAGGATAATTGATCTGCCCGAGCGAGAATATGGGGGCGGGAGGGGAAAGTGAGTAAGAGCAGAGGAGAAGAAAGAGAGAGAGAGAGAGGTGGTGGTTTTCGGTCAACTGCTTCAGGGCGGGGTGGCGGGGCAAAGGAAGGATGGAGAACTGTTGAATTGCTTGCTCCTCCGTACCTGCCGGAACGTGAGAATCACACGGGCGGGGAGTAACAACGACCAAACTGTGAGCTACTGTACCATAGAGTAAGTAAGGTAAGTGACTTAGTATTGAGAGTAGTTGTTGGGACCGACGAATAACTCAGGAAGTTAACCAGCTCGATAAAATTCAGATTCAGCAAGATATAGAAAATTCAACCAATTCCAATGGTGTTCCTTCTTGGTTTTCCTTACCGCATGGTGATGAGAAGGAGAAATTGCCGGTGAGGTGCCAGCCTGAGGCGAGCCATGATTACTCCCGCTCCATTCAACCATGACGTCGTCGTTGCCATATCCAACGGTTTCGCAAAGGGAAAAGGGAGGGAGGAAAACTGGAAGGATTGGAAAACACCATTCATTCATTCATTCAGACCATCATCATGGATAGTACTCCTCCAGGCTCCTTAGGTTAGAGGTGGTCCTCCCCCAACCAACAGACAACAACCAACCGTCGGTCGAGTATCTTCTTTCGCGATAAGAGCAGAGGCCGGAACGAACGGCCTCATCTTATTCCTTTTCTACATGCCGTGCCGAACAAGGTTGGGCAGGAACAGTTTGTGATCTTTATTGTTCTTCTGCTGTGCCCTTGTCTCTGTCTGCCCCCCACCCCTTCGTATTGTCTGTCCATCCTCGGCAGCCGCCACAGGGAAACCAATTCTTGATTTGAGGGAAAGCCGCCGGGATCCGCGTCGAGCGATGAAGACACCTGGAAATACCTCAACTGACAAGCATGTGAAATGATGTCAGCGTAACGCTCTGTCTGCCTACCTACTGCAGCACTGCAGTGCAGGCCTTCAAGCCCCTCCCCCCCTCCCCTTCCCCTCCCAACTGGATCTAGAGAGGCTTGCGATGATGATGATCCTCACACCACAACAACCTGTAAATGAGAATTATCGGTTCATACTACTGATCATGATCAGTAGACTAAGCCCTGCTGAGATACCTAATTAGCGATCTTGAACTAGCTCCTGCATCCAGCTCCAGTAAAAATGATAGGGCAGTAATAGTTTGATCCTAGTACTTGACCACCCCTATGATGAAGGCGTCCCAGGCATGCACGCGCGATTACGGCATCATGCAGACGCTGAGATCAAGTCTCAGTCAATAGTTAGTTAACTAATTAGTCCTCGCATCTGATGACTGATCTAGTCGAATTGACTCTCGATCTCAGTCAGTTGGTGCGGGTTAGGCTGAGGTCCCTGCGCCAGTAGAGCGCCTCTGGGGGGGGATGAACCCGGGGATTTGTCAATGCCCGTGTGTCACCATCGGCCACCGCTTCAAAGGCGTGCGTGCGACCATTCTGCAGCCGGGCGTACACCTCGCACAATTGCCATGACATGTGCGCATCATCCCAATCCTGGCAGTGCTGCTATCAGGCGAATGTAATTTTTAGGCTACATTGGAGTCCCAGCAAAGACTTTCAGCCAACAGATAAGGAGATGAGGGTAGGTGTTGCAGCTCTGCAGGTTTCAACGCAATGATACTCAAGTGGATGAATTGAGTTAGCCTATCTGTCGGTAGGACAAGAGGCAACACAATGACAATAATTGAGATCAGATAGCTTGGTAGGGGGCTGTTAGGAATCAGAACTGTAGGTAGGCCTTGCTTTGAGAAAGTTGTGTTCATCATTATAGGGAAAGGGGGGGAAGATGATATCCCTGAGGCCTCCTGTAAGTGGCTAAGGTTCCATTACGGGCAATGGCTTCAACACAAGCGAACGATAAGTTAGTACGTTGACGCTAGGCCGGAATAAAAGAGTTGGCAGCCGGGTGCAGAGACTAGGACTCAAAATGCCTCACCGTCGATTTAGGGGGGGGGGGGCATGAGGAAGACGTATAATTGGTATCTAGTCTTTGTTCTCCAATCGAACCGCGAACTGCGAACTTCATTTGCAAGGAAGGACTTTGAAGCGTCTAAACCATCCGTGTTTTCGGTTGGCTTTCCTACTGCTCTTCCCCACTTCCACCATAATGAAAGTAGCCGCACTGAGTCGTTTAGCGAGGCCGTAGCGAATCCCAACTTGCTCCCTCCTAGCAAAACGCTCGCTTTTTACCTAGACAGACCCCCGAATCCACTCTGAGAAAGTTGGAAAATGGAGTGCACCCAAGACTCCGGGTAAAAATAAGAATTAGTGGCTCCGGAAAGGCATGGAGCACACAATCCATTCGACCACTCGCACCCGGTATACAGCAGCGATGACAATGATGGCGCAGAGAAGAGCGGAATTGAGTTCCTTCGAGGGAAAAGCGATGACGAAAACGTAAAAACAGTTGGGATGATATTTTGGACGAGGGAGATACTGGTGCAGTGCTGCGGTTGGACTGCTGGGATGGTTCCTGCCTAAAAACCATGACCTTAATCTCAATCATACGCAGCCCCCTTCTATACAAGGCGGTCTAAATTCAAGAAGAAAAATGGTTTGACAGCAACACATGATGGAACCCGATGAGCAGGGCGACTGGAGCAAGATCGTCCGCATCTTTCACATCCGAGTCTGACAGGACATTCTGAAACACTCGAGGTGGAGTCCCATTTCCAAAGACCGGCTCACAACTCACGAGTCACAACTCACGACTTACCGCATGCAACGACGACGCCGCCGCCGCTATTACGCACGAGCCCAAGGCCCGAAGTGTACCAGTAATTAACTAGTACTAGGCACGAAGGGATCATCACAGTAACATGAATTGTTACTAATCTTCGGCCCAATTTTAGGAGGACCTGCTAAAGGCAATGGCGAAATCGACGAAGTTGAGATAATGAGACTAGACTTCCTCTGCCAATGGGAAGCAATGCCATCTGATATTTACAATTCCGATGAATTCGAGGCTTGGTTATCAGTCGTAGTCATCAGCGCGGGATTTACCGCCTGGTTAGACCGACGGGGTTGGCTGGGCGCGGGAGCCTGAGTTTCGATGACTACTCTCATGTTCGACTGATCGATGACGAGCAGAGCAAATCACTAAACTGGATTGATATCACTTGTATCATTGAAGGAAAAAGACTCTTTTTTGTCCCTTAACTCTCAAAATGCGGGCGGGGCCACCTGCTCCGCCCGGCTAATGGTTCTGGTTCATAATTTCAATAGTACGTCGCCCTTCTGTGGACTATGTTGCCGTGACTAAGACAACAGCAGCAGCAGTAGGTGGAATGGAAGGAATGGAACGGAACGGGTGGAGTCTCCCAGCAGGCGGGAGCCGATACAGATTGATTGTCAGATATACTTCCCTCATAGGTTGAACCACTGATAGAAAGTAGGCCACGAGCTGTCCAGTCCCTGAAAGGGCAGAGAAAGAATGGCAGATCCGAGTCTGAACCATACCATTCTTGTGATCGCCCCCGTCTTGCACCCTTTGACTTCCCGCCCCCCTTCAATGTTGGTCATGACGACACGACCCTGGGTGTCGGTGCAGCAGAACAAAACGAATGCAGACAATAGGGAGGGAGGGGTATGGAGGGGAAGAAGGGAGATTGATACATTAGACCAAGCCTCGATTACCTGCAAGTGAGTTATTGTGGCTTTTCTGCAGTTGAGATCAGGATCAGACACACTACGTAAGTAGTCGTAATTTATGACTGGGGGGGTGAGGGGAGGGGTGGGAGGAGGGGTTCAAACAAAGTTACTTATGAACATCATCATAGTCAACAATAATGCAAAGCAAAAGGTTTGTATAGTATGAAACCAAGTCCTAATTGGAGGTTGCCCAAGATGCGACCGAGTAACAGGGGTGGTGGAACGATCGAATCAACCTGGATGATAGATGATGAATGAGGTGAGTGATGATGCCACAGGGAAAGCACTCCAGAGAACTGGAAAAGATTCGCATCACCGGTTCGTTCATCCATCCAGGAACCACCAACAGGGAAGGGAAAATTAAGTCTAGTTGTATATTTCAAAATTACACCTACAACCTCCTACGTACGTAGTAAGTTGAAGTATTACTATTCGGTAGAATAACCAGCCAACCATTCGATAGGTAGTAGTCATGAGAGTCGGCTGCCGCTTCTCCGGTCCATCCAGGCAAGTGTTTTTTTGATTATTACCTAGTACTAGGTAGTTATTAAACACATCATTCCATCACCACCATCATCCATCCCTACATGAATTGCTGCATTGAAAAAGGACCCAAGCAGCTGCCTCACCCGAACAACAACACTCCAAATTATCCTCCTGTGGTTGACTGACACAGTGGAAAAAGTCATCATCAAGTCTGAAACCTGATCCCCACATTCCGTGCAGCTGCTTTGAGTATCAGCTGCCTTATTCCTCATGCGTACGGTCTTGAGTTGTTAGCCTCATTATTATTGTTATTGTTATTGTTGTTATTATCGTTAATGTGGTGGTGATGGTGGTGGTGGCCATCTCCCTAGTTTCATCAGATTTGCACATCCTACCCCTGTCTTATCATTGGATTTTAATTTTCCTTACTCCGAGATTCGATTTTCGGTTTTTACCGTTTTACCTGAGGCAATCACTATAAATTACTACCACGTACTATTTTGCTTCCGCTAAACCAGACCGGTGCAATTACGGAGCGAAAGAAGTGGAGATCGATCTGACCCTGAGGACTTCCTTTTGGCGCTGGGCTTTCTGGTCATATAGAGATATTTCCAGCAGCTACAGCCCAACTGGAATTTGAGCTCCGAACTCCTTTTTCATCTTCTGATCACTACTCCAGTCGCTCTCATATACCTACCTACCTGTGCCACGACTCCAACCATCTACTCAGTTATCAACTACTACTAACAGCCACTACCTACTTACATCTATACCTCCCTTACTACCACTACCTACCTACCTATCGCAACTACCTTTGCAATCTATCTCGCCTCACCTCTGTGGTCTATTACTGCTGCCTAGGATTTCGCGGGGAAAGAAGACCTTTGATCCGGTGGTCTCATTCTACCTACCATCGACTTCTGCGCATCGTTTCCCCCAATTTTCCGCCCGTTCAATTGACCACCAGCCGGCACAGCCACTTCACTCGAGTTCATCTAAATACCCGCCCTTCCGACTTCATCTCTAATCACTGTTCCACGAGCAACGGAGTTTCTCGCCTCAACTGTTCGGCATAGGGCCGCCACAATCGGTCGGAGAAAAATGAGTTCGTCTTCTGTTCGAGTACAACACCCACCCACCGGAACTCCTAAAGGGGTCGTCGCTTCTCCCGCCAGTTCAAGTCCAACCTCCATGAACTTCGACATTGTCCGCTGTTCGAGATGTCAGCGTTCCATGAGCCTTGAGAACGAGTCATCCCCCGGAGTGGTTCGTTTCGGCATGAACTCCTACTACTGCAGCCGGTGTGCGTCCATGGTCGGCTTCATTCGTTGAAAGACGGGATCAATGGACCAACACTCGTGATTTCAATTCGGATGAACCAAACAACATCAACATGAACAGTGCTTTCGTCACCTACTCTAACCGCTTGTACCCGAATCAGAACCAGGCCACAAACCGACGTGAAATCGCTGGTCTTCCAATGTGTGCCTCTACCTTTATCCGCACGCTCGCTTCCACGGCACTGCTCGGGAATGCCGCCATTCAACCCAAATCATATATCCGCAATCCATTGAATTGGACCTGCATGGGTGCAGCCTGAATGTTGACGACCTGTTCCCTGGGCCAGTCTGGATGCCATGCGGCCTCAACGATCAATACTTCCGAAGAACATGGAAGAGCCTGCTGCTCACGCGCTTTGCCCGAACCCCCCCCTGCATGAAGACTAAGGCAGATTTTCTGAGAAAATTGGAATCTTTCGGAAGCGATACTTTTGACAAGTCTCGCTCTGTGCTCTCGATCTGGAGAAGGAAAGATCTACAAGATTTCATCTGTTCCTTCCTAAGTCAAAGGATGGGGAATCGAATGGCGTCTGATGTCTGCGCATTGTTGTATTGCGCATTGTAACCCTTGGCCCAGGCATGTAGCATCTGGATCCCCACGTTCCAAGAATGTGTTATGTTTGTTCCATTCCGCAGCTTCAGGGTTCCAGGCCACGACTTCTTGTGACCGAATACATTCGCCAGTCTTGTTTTGCATGTGTTGATAGCCCCCTTTGTATGTATGCAGGAAAGCTGCCAGTGAAACTCAACAAATGTTCTCCAATTAAGTGACATCGACAGTTTTACAATAGAACGCTTGCGTGTATTTTGCCATCAGCGACCGTAATTTGTTTTGATCTTGTGCTAACAAGCGCCGATCTCATTTGTATCGATTGACCACAGTAAACGTAGCGTAGCACTCCACCACTACAAAAAGTAATCAGGAGAAATACCCGACCTACTTCGTCCTACTTGTCCGAATATAGTAGCTGCATGCCAAAGGTGCTTCGTGCTTGAGGCCTTGTCTTAATATTGTCTTCTCATAAGGTCTAAGCTGCAATAGCCCTTTCCCCCCGGAATTTGAACCCCGCGATATGGGGTAGCAAGGTAAACAATGGTCAATTACCTCAGACAGAGTCAACATTAACATTGCGTGTGCCTATGACACACACCGAATAAGTTACAGTTCTTCCACTTTACTGCCTAAGGTGGTTATATTTAGACATCTTCAGCGTCTGCTCGACCTTTCCCCTTTCCTCTTTATTATTATTGTTATTTTTTTTTGGAGGTTTCCCCCTTCCCTTCGCTCTTCCCCGCCCCGTCCAAGCAAAATCCGTCCGCCGCAGCACCCGCACATGCCCCGAGCCCACTCAACCATCCCCTCAAACTGACTAGCGTTGTCCCTTTATGTGTGTGTGTGTCTTCTCTTCTCCCCTCCCGCTTTATACTTTTTGGGTAGTGTCTTCCCATCACCGCATCGTCATCATGGATCAAACTAAGGTGGTCTATTTTAGCTCCAGCGCGATTTTTTCATGACTACAGTTCTCCTCCTCAAGCTAACAGAGAATCAAGACTAGCCTCTCCGCAAGATTGGGACTTGGTTTACATTGTTGTCCTGGCAGCCTATCATACTTTCACGACTTACTAGAGCTGGCTTGGTTGATTTTATTCTCGTCGCAGTAGTGGAAGTCCACTAGACTAGGCAGGCTCGAGTCGGATAACAGCTGGAGCTTCACTATTATCCTCTTTCGCAAGGTCCCCTTTGCCAAGGTCACCGTTGCGAAACGCGAATCCCCGCTGGCGTGCTTGCTTGCCAGGGGGGGCGCGTAAGAGGCGTTTGTTCTTGTTGGTGACTTGGTATGGACCTCTTCCCGTCGTGCCCCTCCTTCTCGCTCTGTTGTCGGCCCGGCAGGTAATGATCCATGATGTACAGTACTCCGTACTCTGTATCTAATGGACGGTAAGTTAAACAAACGACAATGAGCTATAGAAAAGCCTCCAGCGATCCCCCGCCTTCCCTCCTCACCCCCTCCCCCTTGCAGCCCGAGAAGGGAACTTAGTCTGGTTTGTCGCGCACACATCTACACAGTACGTAATATGTTGACTGAAATGATGTGATTATCATGCCTGATTGGTTCAAATCGGTTGGAATGGGAAGATGAAGTAGCTACTAGACACTGCTACATATCACCCGTACCACACACAGCATTAGATAGTCGGAAAGGTTAATCTCAACCTTGATGGAAAAAGAAAGAAGGTTTGGGATTGACCCAAGATAAACAATAGTTCATGCGATGTTCTTCGGGGAGATCGTCTTCTTCCCGCCCCCGACATGGAGAAATCAACCAGAACAGAAACACCAGAAAGTCAAAATTGGGGAAATGAAGCAAATGACTAAACTCAATGCACTGTAATGAGTTAACTACCGGGTGGACGCAGCGGAGCACTAAGTTGAGGGTCAACCAGTAAACCTACCATGAAATTCAAAAGTGTAAATTCTTACAACTATATCTTGCTCAGTCCCGCCTACAGCTACTCCTAGTACCGTGGCTGCCTTCCCTTTGCAGTTGCAGTTGTCTATGGTTGTCAACCTTGGTCGGGTAAGTCGAAAGTCGAGTATTTCGCTGTTCGCTGATCAGTGGGTCGGTGTTGAGTGACGCCGTGGTTTGGGGGTGGAGGTTGGTTTCATCGGTTGTCTGGTCTGCGGCCTGCCTGTCTCCATGGTTCCACTCCGGCAAAGCTGTCACTTGCCTTGATAAGCAATTGCAAAAGAGGCCCAAAAAAAAGGGGGTGAGAGGTGGATGTCTCTTCCATGACGATCCCAGTCCAGTTTAAGAAGGTGGTGACAATCTTTAGTTCATAGCATGGTCTCATCAATAGTCAAGGTAAGGCCAGGTTGTAGAACCATCGCGGAAGTGCTAAATAAACAATTGACAGACTCAAAGTATGATCTGCCATGTGCGCTCAGGAACGCGGACATGTCAAAAGGAAAAGTCCCAGTTGACAGATGGCTTCTTTTCAGAGCTTCCTTGGACATGTGACCGGTAAATTTACCTTCTCATCTACGTTGTCACTGCACTAACTGCCGCAAGTCTTGCAGAAAGTATTTTTCTTTTTCTTTTTCTTTTCTTTTTTTTACATATTTCCCCCCTCAATTTGGTGAAACTCTCACCTCGGTCGCCAGTTACCTTTGTGAAAGCAGGCAGAACTTCTTCTACGAGTATGAGCGCCCTTTGCATGGAACCCAGAATCCCCAAAGGGTAATCTGAGTTCGGATCGCTCATGCATCCCCCACGGACCCATAAAGCTCTTCATTAATAATTTTTCCCCAGTGCTGTGGACACGTGCGCGCAACATGAGTCGCCGTCTCTGTTGTACGAAGCTGCGATTCTCAAAGCATGATCTGAAGGTTCCCGAGGAGAGAATACAGCACTGGAGAAACCGTGACACCATCGAAAGCTTGGTCCATGCGACCTTGGTTAAGGGCCTGGTCTTGGGCACAATCTGCGGCTCATCGCACCAGTTATGGGATACCTGTACTCCGTATATACATCGTCGAGGCTGGTGATATTCGAGGATGCATATACATCGCGCGAACCCGCCTCGTTCGGACAAGCGCCTGCCTGGCCTTCCCCGTCTCTTCTAGACGAGTGATTGCTCTGCTAGCGGAAGATCTTACCAAGACTATGGGACCGGGGAGCAGAGCAGCCTGAGGGCGGATCTTGCCTATCGATCGATCGCTCCAACTATCGGTCCTTCCTTTGGGAAGTGGGGTTGGTTCCAATCCCTGTGAATTCCCATGTCGTTTGGTGACTAAATTATCCATCCTGACTGGTGAGCTCAAGATGATGAGACCGGCTGGGACTACAAGGATATTTTGAGCAGGCTGACGTTTAGTCGAGTCGTAGTCGATGGCAAGACATCTTGGCTTTCTCTTTGCGAGCTGAATCCGGCCCCGAAGCTCATATGAGTCTACTTCATTTTCTTCCTGTCGGTTGTAGGACCACCGTGACCGAATCCATCCTCCACCAAGGTCTTCATCGCTCCACACCAATCTGATTAACAAACTTGGGGGCGCGCGTGTGTGTGTCTGTATGTATGTATGTGTGTGTGTGTGTGTGTACTGCAGCTCAGCTTTCCACACTTTGAGATCCCACTTCTCGAGGTTTCACCTCCTCAGGTCCGCTTTCCAATTCGGTGATGACGGACCGAAGACAGGCATCTGCCGCCCGAGCGTTTGGTGTATCCTGACCCCGTCCCGAGCTGTCAGGCCCCAGACCCCTGCAGTGCGACCGTCGTGGAATGTATCCGGCGGTGACCAGAGCGACGAAAGTCGGAGGTGGCAGACGAAGCATCTGTGCATTGGGGGTGGCTGGGACAATGGGAGATTTGAGGAATATGACCCTTCAGATGCACCAGGGTCACCGCAGTTGGATCTCGATCGCCCGGCGACTGGGACCAGGGGCAACTTCGGCAGCCACAAGAACATCATGTCTGTGAATATTTCAACTGCCTCTTGTCAAAAGTGGCCTTCATTCAATCGTTGCGACACTGTTTTGTCGCTTCCACGGGAATTGTCTTGGTTTCTGTATGACTTACACTGACTATAGGGACTCGCTCATGATGACCGCCGAATAACTCCCGTTTGCCATTCTCGCCCTTCAAGTAGATGGAATTCCGAGTTCCCTATTTGGGGGGTACCCCAACAGATAGCCGAGACAACTAATATGACACAAGAACACCGCCACTGGACGAGTGCTCGTCTGCCAGACGAGGGAAAATATCAGACATGAGACAGGTCGGTCACTGTCACAACCAGCTCCACCTTAGCCGGGGCTGAGGTTATCTGTATTGGCGTGCAGCGGCAGCCCTTCAGTAGACAAGTCCGGAGAAGGCGAGAACTAGACCGGGAAGATGGATGGAGAGGGGAAAACAAAAGCAAAAAGCAAAAGTTTTCAGGTTGACTCCGCTGAGGTATCTAGTCTATGGTGACTCCTGAGCGCTGGAGCCTTCGTGTCTGATCCGAGAGGACCATCCTGGTTTCGCAGACTTTATTGGCTGGAAAATGGCTTTCTCGTCTTGCGTTTCTTACTTAGACTCTCCATGCAATCAGCCAGAACCAGACCATGCAGTGCTGTCTGGTGGTGTCTACTGCGGTCTGCTGTCGGTGGCTGTCCTGGGATCTGGCGGTGTAAATGTAAATGTAAATGTAAATGTGACAATCAAGTACTGTAATAAGCAGAGAACAACAATTGGACAACGGTAGGGAGGAAGCAACAATACATTCCATTGTACTTTATTCCATTTGATTAGATTTTACTTTACTTAATTTTATTCCATTTAATTTCCTTCTGTTTCAGTCTTTTTACTGACACTTCCTGAATCCTTCATGTCATTGCTTCCTACCGGTACCTCTCTCTGTTGACTTCCCTGACTTGTTACTTGTTACTTTTTGATATATCCATCCATCACAGTCGATCATGCATGACATATCATCCCCCCTCGTCCTTCCTGGACCTGACACATCTTCTTCCCCTTCCCAGTGCCCACACCCCCTCTCCCTCCCCCCCAAGCCTCTCAGCATCTTATCCACTCACACTTCTCTATTTCGAAGTACAAGAGACAGCTTTGGTTTCCAGCAATCAGAGAAAGATAACCCTTCCTTCATTCGTCAGTGGATGCATCCGTGCCTCTCGTTTATCCTCGCTGAGCGGATCTGACTTGCTCACTTCCGAGCTCCATCCCCATCTCCATGTCCATGGTATTTTTAGGTATCCCTCGCACTAGCGATCTGCTGCTGCTGCTGCTGCTGCTGCTGCTGCTCCTGCTACTACCAACGTTACTTGATCTTTCGCGTGATTCTCTTCCTCTTTCTGCCCCCTTCCTGAATCTACCGTCTCATTCGAACCTCGATTTCGCCGAAGCTGGTTACTTCTGCGTCAGTTTCGGTCTCAACGTCTCAGCTGTCTCTGGGTGGTGGGACGCCCTCCATGTAGGCAATCGATCGACCCTCCTCCGGCCCTTTGCTCGTATCGCTTTAAAATCGACGAAGGTGCAGTCACTCAGCTGGATCCTCCCGCTGCGGATCAGTGCTTCTTAAGCAGTCCGACCTCACTCGTTCATCTGTGCGACCGGAGCTTCCTGGAACCTAGAACGGTAAGCAGGCCCGCCTTGAGCCCCTTCCAGCACTTATTTCTACGGCGAGGTCTCTGGGTTATTTCTGACCCGATACTGATCACTGATCACCATCTCCCGGATCAACAGAGTTCAACTCTATCATCACTTTCCCGCTGGGTTCCGAGCTTTGGCGCGGAGCCTGTCTGGGAACCAACCGGACGCAGCAAACCCGTGTGACTGGTCCCTCAAGTACCGACGGATCGATCTATACAACTACCTATAATCGGAAGCCGTGACGGTGCTCCAATCACCACGACTGCACGAGAACATGCCTGCACCAACGTCCTCGCGCGACAAAGGGCGAACGTCCAAGCAGGGAAGGTCGGATGAGGAGTTTGTCTTGTTCCTCCAGGGAGTAGGTTCCTCGACCGTGCTTGCTGTCTTCGTGTCTTGCTTATCTCTCCGGTGAACTAGATCCCAGCGCATTGCCGCTGGCAGGAGCTCAAAGACCTGGTCCGCCAAACAGCCCTACATATCCGACAGGCTGTAGTGTACGATGACCAGCATGGATTTCCAACCGGGCTAGGCCAGATCATCGTTAAGAACGAGGACGAAGCGTGGCGAACATATCGTGCGTACTTGAGCCTTCTCCATTGCCATCGAAGCCGTGTGACTGGTCAATAAACGTGCATGGACTGACACCGCGTTTCTCCAGAGAGGCTATCCACGACCGGCTGGGAGGGCCAAAGCCTCGTTGTGACACTGGCTCGGACCAGCTCGCCTACACGCCCGGTTGCTGGCCCGACGAAGAGTCCCACGTGTTTGATTCCTGCTAATTATATTGCGGGCTATTCGACGCCGCCGAGGGTCACGCAGAACATGGCCGTTCCTCCTTCCCCAATATCTCCTGAGTAGGTGAAAATAGCTAGGGCAGGCTGGTTTGTCGGCTGACACCGAACAGACCTGTCATCTCCACGAGTCCAACGTATCCGAATTCCGAATATGGCCCGGTGATTGACCTCATGAGTATTCCTCATCAGCATCAGCCCTTCCTGCCTGTTTTCGCCGACCCAGTCACTCAGCACGCCATTCCTGCTATACCACAGTCTCCCGCCCCTCTCCGGCACAATTTCAGGGATGCTTTCGCTATACCCATCCTCCCCTCCTACCCATTCCCCGCTGTTCAGCCATTCGTCGAAGGCCCCATAAGCACGCGATTTGGCACCACCGCCGGACGACGAGCCAATTTCCCCCGTAAACCTATTCACAACTACCATTCCGACAATGTGAACTTCACCTCGCAGGCCTATCACCAGCCCAGCAGCTCCGCGGGTCCCCCACACTTCTCACCACGTCGTACTATCTTTGTGCAAAACCTCAGCCCCGCAACGAGTGGCCTGGCGCTGCGTGACCTCTTCCAGGCCTCAGGCGTCGCAATCGAGCAATGCGAGGTGCCGCTGGACACGGAATCTGGACGCTGCAGAGGCTTCGCGCGGGTCACCTTCCGAACTGCCGAGGAAGCCAAACGCACCATCGCCCTATACAACGGCTGCACCTTCCTGGGGGCCAGGATTCGCGTGAAAATCGACAGGAGTATGCTTCAGAACACATCAAATCCCCCGCTGGAACCCGTCAATTTCACCAAATCTAGCACCAATACTAGCATAAGGAATCACAACCCCCTCCGCCAGAGCAACATGCAATTCAAACCCCCGACAAATACCTCTAAAGACCACCGCCGTGGCCCCCCAACGGAAGATACATCACTCAGCCAAGCCACAGCCCCAACAACCTCGAGGGATACCTCACCTCCAGCGTCCCCCTCGTCTTCCACTTCCACGGCCGTAAAACAGATCGACCGCTGTGGCCCACTGGTGGTCAACGGGTCTGGAACTGGACGCAGAGCTGTGGCGACCTAGTATCGCTCACTTAGGCAAGGTATTTGGTCCTACCTAGCCAGCAC